ATTACTAGTTCTAATTAATTTCAAGCTTTATAATAAACTAATAATAGTATCTAATTTAATAAAACTACTAAAAATTAAATTAATATCTAATTTAGTATTAGATTTATATTTTCTATTAAATCTATAATAATAAAAATACTAATTAGGTAAATATAATATTATATTATATTTATAAAAACTTTATTTTTATTTAGTTTAGCTAATATAAATAAGATAGGAATTTATTTTAATAATTTTACTAATTATCTTATTATTTCTACTAAATACTTTATATTTATAATATAATATTTTAGATACTTTTTCTTATTTTAGAATACTATTTTATAAAGCTTTATTTTCGAATTCTTTATTTATAATTCCTGCTTTTTTATAAAATTTAAATTATAATATTTATATTATTATTTTAATTATTTATTTATTAGTAAGCTTTAAAATATACTAGAATAAATAAGTTATAATATTAATATAAAAACTTTTAAATATCTTATAAAGTATTATAAATAATACTAGAAATTCGAATAATTACTAGAATAATTTAAGTTTAATTTAAGAAATAATATTAGCTTTAATTATTCTATTATTATTAATATTTTCTATATTTCTAATAAGCCTATATTTTATATTATTAATAAAGGTACTAGATATTAAGCTAGCTAATAGCTTTAAAATATTAGTATATTATATATTTGGGATATCTTAAAATAATATTAGATTAATATTTATTTAGGTTTTCCTAATTAGATTATAATAAATACTAGAAAGTAGTTAATTAGTAAGAAATTTACTTAGCTTATAAATATTATAGGAATTAAGATTAAAATTATTTCTATAAAAGCTTAGAGTTTTATTAGAATTATAGAATATTATTATAGCTAAAATTAATAGAATTAATAAGAATACTATATTCTAAATAGTTTTTAAGGCTATTAATAATTTTACTAGATCTAATAATATTATTTTAATTTTTTTGATTTATAATACTTTATTTCAAATAATTAAATATAATATTTTATTACTAATTATATTATAGTAATTAGTAATATTTAAAAAAGTAATAGTAAAAATTCAGAAGCTTTAAACTAGATATTAGATTATAAATACTCTAAATACCCGAAATAGTTCTAATATTACTAATATTTATAAACTTTTCTTAAATTTGGATATTTTTATATAATATAAAAAAAAATACTAATTAATCTAGTAATTAAAATAATTTATATAAGCTAGTAGCTATTAATAGAGAGAACTATATACTAGCTTTACTATATAGTAATATTATTTTTTATTTAATTTTTATAAAGCTTTTTTATATAAGAAATATTAAAATTATTATTAATAATTCTAAACCTAAATCTATTTCTAAACTTTATAATAAAGCTAAAAATAATATAAGTATAATTTCTTTTATTATTCCCGCTATTTTATTAAAGTATAATAAAGAATACTTTTATAAAAACCGGGATATTATAATATTCTTATAAGATAATAATCTATATAAGAACTTTTATTAAGTTAAAATTACTAGTTTTCTAGAAAAAAGTATATTTGGAATTATTTTTAAATTTCAAATACTAAAAAAAATACATATTTTTAATTTCTGGTTTATTAATAAAATTAAGAATAAAAATATAAAAAAAGAATTTAAGAAATTAAAACTAGTTATTTAGGCTTATAATAATAATAAAAAATATATAATATTAATATAATTACTTATTATTTAATATATTAGCTAAAGAATTATTCTTAGTATTATTATTATAATAATAGACATTATAAAGCTATATTTATATAATATTTTATAAGCTTATATCTAATTAATAACTTTACTTAACTATAATTTTTATATTAACTTATTTTATAAACTTACTAGAAAGCTAAATATAAATAATAATTCGGTTCTAAAAGTTATAAAACTACTATATAATATATTAGAAGCTAGAAACTACTAGTTTAAAACTTATTATTCCTATTATATTAATAAGCTTTTTATAAAATAATTAATTTATAATTCTTGCCTTTTTTATAATAAGTAATTCTTTGAAATTATTAGCCTTTAAACTAATGATACCCTATTTATTAGAAATAATAATTTTATAAAAATAAAGTAACTAAAGCTTTAAAAAACTAAGTTCTTAACTAAGAAATATAAATACCTTATTATTAATTATAATCTCAAGTTTAATAAAGGTATTATTTATATAAATATTACTAGAATTATTCTTATATAGAAATACTAGTATAAAAACCTCTAAATTATTTCTATAAAAAATATTATTATTATAAATAATAAAAGTACTATTTATTAAGATTTCTTTATTAAAAACTAATATATTATCTAATATACTAGAAAAGTATATATTATATTAGTCTATTAACTAGAAACTTTATATAATTTATTAATTACTATTTAAGCTATTAAACTTTCGGAAACTAATATAAAGATATTTAATAAGTATATTTAATAGTAAATTGAGAATATTACTAAAGAACTAAGATTTATAAAGCTAGTAAAAAAGTTCTTATATTTAATTATTTTTATAAATACTTTATTTATAAATAATAGAGATTTCTTTTTCTAAATTAGATATATTCTAGTTCTAATAAACAGAACTAAATATACTAATATTATTTACTAGTTCTTTACTAAATATAAGAGAATTACTAAAAGTATTCTAGCTTTAGAACTTTATAATATAGCTTATAGCTTTAATATAAATACTTTAATTAAATCTATAATTAATAAAGTACTAGAAATAAAACTATTACTAATAGTTTATATAAATTCGAAGTTATTATATAAATATCTTATTAAATTAAGAACTATTTGAGAAAAGTATCTAATAATTAATATAATATATTTTTACTAGATATATAAATAATAAGAAATTATAGAAGTTAAATAAATTAAAAGAGAATTAAATCCTACTAATTCTATAAAAAAATTAAAACTAATAAATGTTTTTAAATACCTAATTAATATAAATATTATATAATTAAATATAAATAAATAAATTAAAGATAAATAAAATAAGAAATAAATATATAAAATAAGAAAATATTATAAAAAAAGAAGTTATATATAAAAGGCTATAGCCTTTAGTATATAACTAAAACCTTAGAAATAATATAGATATATAAAGCATTTAGAAAATCTAGTACTAGGCTAGATTAGGGAATTTATATATAATTAGAGAAAGATATTATTTTTCGCGTTTTTAGAAAGTTTCTAGTATTAGTATAGCTATTTCTTTAGGAATTATATATATAGTTACGAGATATAAAATACGGGATATAAATAATAAAATATAAATAATAAACTATAAAATACGAAATATAATTATATAACCTTATATCTTATTAGTAACTTGACTAGTAAACTAGACTTTTTTAGACTTAGTAAATTTAGGAATTATATATTAATATTATAATATTATAATTCTTATTTCTAAATAATAATAACTTTACTAACTATATATAAATAGTACTTCTATACCTATATAATAGTATTATATATTACTAGTAAACTAATAATTAGTAAACTTGATTTTATTAGGCTTAATAAATTTAGGAATTATATATTTTATTTCTAAATAATAATAATTTTATTAGTTTTATATAAATAGTACTATATATTACTAGTAAACTAATAGTTTCTTTAATAAATAAAGTTCTTAAAATTATATTTAAATAGCTTCTAAAAATTATTATTAATTATTTTATAAAAAATGTATTAAAATAATTTAATATTTAATTTTAAGAATTTATATATCTTTTATATTATAATAATATTTAAAATAATTTTATATTTTTATTTTATTTTAATTATTTTATAATTATTATTTTCTATAAATATAAATTAATTAAATTAATTAAATTTAATAAAGAAAATATTTAATATAATAGATTCTATTATTATATATTTTATAAGCTTATATTTGATTTATAATATAGTAATTTATAAGAAAAATAAATTTATAAAAAGAAAATTAATTTATAAAAGTTATTATATTTATAATAAGAAATTTAGGAAATAAAATATTAAGATTTTAAAAGTATTTAATAATTTTAAAGCTTAATAGCCTTAAATATTTAGATAATTATAAAAAGAATAATATTATAAAATAGTTAAAAAATTAAAAAATTAATTATTTAATAATTAACTATTTAATAATTAACTATTTAATAATTAATAAAAAATTATATATTTTCTTTTTATAAAATCGAATTATAAATAATAGGAAATTTTTTTTAATATAATTTAATTAGGTTTTAATAAAATTAAATATCTTTTTCTTTTTATAGAATTAAATTATAAATAAAAGTAATTAATAGTTTTATTTTTAAAAAACTTAATTCTTTTTATTATTTAATTTATATATATAATTTCTAAATCTATTAAATCTAGTAAAATCTAGTCTATTAATTAAATTATATAATTATTTATATTTTATATTTTATATTTCGAGTTTTATAATTATATATATAATTTATAAAGAAATAATTATATTAATAAAAAGAAATCAAATTTAATTTAATATAAATATTAATAAAAAAAGCCTAATTAATAAGTAATAATAATATTAATCTAATAATTATAATAAAAAATAATAATAATTTATAAAATCTATTTTAGAATAATTTTAAGAACTTTAATATTATAGTATTTTATTAAATTAGCTATATATTATTATAAAATATTTAAATCTAATTTTAATATAATAATATTTATATTAAATAGAATTATAAGAGTTTTATTATTATATAATTCTTTATTTATTTTATTTAAAAGAAAATAAAATATATATAAAATAAAGCTATTATTATTAATAATAATCTAATTAAATTCGGGGTTTTTTCAAGATTAAAGGAATAGTAAATGATTTATTAAAAACTAAGAGAAAAGAGGAAAGCTGCGACTATACTACCCTTTATTAATTACCCCCACTCCGATCCAGCCACACTCTTCCGCTTCTGCCTATATACAACATATCTACTCACATCAGCACTTATCGCGTCCTTTGAAGAGATATTTGCATCGGCACCCAAGTATGAATCTTCGTATCACTTATTTCCTTCCTAATATCCACCAAAAAAAGCTCCAATTCCGCCAAAGACCAACCCAAACCACGGGTGAAATGCGCGACGCTAAGACCATATAAATTTCTAGTAACATTTTCATGATACCACATCCCTACTTTCGTTAGCTGCACCCACTACTAACACCCAAGACACGCACCCAGCTCCTTCATCTCGCGATCTTTGGGCCATCGATTTGTCGGCCATTTCCAAACCACCTCTACAACGTTCTCAAAACCAGCAGCTATCTCTGCTCCTTGTACAAACTCGCACTGTCTATCGGACGACCTAGATTCTGGGCAGACTCAATACAAAGAGCACCCCACTTGTAGGTCGTAGAGTTGAGTGGTAAAGTACCATCGTCGGACCTGTGTGGAACGCATATGTCCGCGGCTTCAATCCACCCACCGGGATTGAGATTCCTAGACGAGTCAGTGCCGAGTAAATGTGTCTCAGACGACCACTCATATGCTTTTTCGAAGCCCTTAGGCCAAATCCAAGCGAGCCTGTCATCATGCGGCTATAGATGAAGTCGAACCTTGTAGTGAAAGTCCAAGGTTCTTCAATGTCGTCAATCTCGAATTTCAAATTTGGCGGAACACTACGACAGCGTTAGTGTGATCCTCTTTGCTCCATCTTGTAACACACTAACTTGGCTGTGTCGGGCTCAAATCAACTCCGATTACCTTAACAGCAGCCAGCGTTGGCATTTGACTCTCAAAAACTTGACTTCTACCTGTGTTTGGGGGTATTCATCGGCTGTATACCTGTTAGCAAAGCAATGGGTTGGAAGTAAGTCCTCACCAAAATCCATCGCCCAGATCCCAGTACCTGTTCCCACGTCAAGCACGCGATGCAATTGCTGATCTTTGGGAATTGGTGCAGTAAACAATTTGGCCCCAAACGTTAACAGGAACATGTGATGTTGCAGGTCTAAAGTTTCGTTAGAATCCCAATCTTGTGACCCGCATTCAATTACCTAGGCGGTCATTTTCTTCCTACTTTGTGTCAGTAACGCCCTCGCATTCCTTACCAAATCTAGTAGTGGTTTACCTCGTCATCCCATGTTAGCAAGTATCTCATAGATGTAACCGAGATTCCAGCTGTCGCACTTCCATCCTTGTATCCATGGTATTGCCTCCCATTCTCTTTCCTATAATTTAAGACGCTCGAATGAATCGACTCTGTGGAGGTCATCGTAGAATCCTATATATAATAAGGAAGGCGTGTTTGCTTTCTGATTGTACTTCCATCGATCGCAGAGTCGGCATCATCATAGTCATTGGCCTTTGAAGTAGGTATTAGTCTGGATGCCGTGCATTAGACCCGGGGAGGACAGGTCACCTCAGCCTCTATGGTTATATCTTGTGTTGGTTCGGCTGCTACATTTCCTATTCCAGAAAGAATGGGAGTAGCGTCAGGGATAGGAGTAACAACTTCAAATGGCGCACTTATGATGTGCAAGAAGACCTGTCAGGCGGTTACACCCCACAAATTTGGAATGTCTCCTGGGAAAAGTAAAATGAAGAGACACACGAAACATAAATGCTGGCATCGTTCGTTACTTCTGCCAAAGTCGGTGTGTTCCGAGCTCGGAAGTCGACCCCTGCACCAGCACCAGCACCAGCACCAGCACCAGCACCTGCAGCCCGCAGCGGCCCCCGCCCACTCGAGTGGTTGGAAAGCACGGCGCCTCCCGCATCATAAACTTTATCCCCCTACAAGCTATTTCCGAGATCGCGCTGGCCCCGGAGTCTCGTCTCGAGGCCTAAGATACCCGCGGGTAGGCTCGATGTTAGTCAGAAATTGGCCAGTGCCCGGGAGCGGTTCTTGTAGCGAGGTACGAGCAAGTACAGTACAGTAAGAGTGTTGTCCGGCTGAGAAATGGATCACGAATAGGGTGGGTGCAGAGAGGGTGAATGCACCTGCGAGGCGAGACTGTTTAGTGATGGTACCACATCTCTAAAGCCTAAATTAGAACACTTAATCGTCTCCGCTTCCCACAACAACGTCCCTCTATCTCATTGAGATGCTTGAATCCTTGATACGACATTGTGAAACCCTCCGGAACCGTCTAGCGATGAACAAGAGCCAACGCGGGCCCCACTACATACCATATCCCACTCACCCCAACCACCCCCGCTAACAAAATAACGTAGCCAGCGATACACACCCCTCAGCTCTAATTACAGTGAGATTTCCAACCAGAACCACGACGTAGCCTCAAGCCGGATCCAATCGTCGCCCCGTCCACCAATCCTCCATCCAGCGTCAGTTCACAGTTCACGTCCTCACCTCAGTCAGAAACCTAGGAGACCGCGCCAGATTAATTATTTCTTAAGGGTGGGAATGTTGCCGAATATTGTGTGAGCACAGTGCGGACGCGGAGAGTTTAAATTGGTCGGCGTAGTTGATGTGAAGGTGTGAGCTGGGTGAGCGTATAGACTCAAGGATATTGTGTGCTCCTACTGCAGTTTTGTATTCAGTTTACCGGTGTGGTGCTGCTCGTCTTGCGTGTGAGAGGTGGCTGCTTTCTGACAAGAGCAAAGGAGCTCGGATAAAAGGTAAGTTAGCCAAGAGTTAGTAATTAGACAGGAAACGGCATAACTTGTTATGTCGTGATTATTTTCCAAAATAAGCATATTAATCCTAAGCAACTTATGAGCACTGATATCCAATCGATGGATTTCTTCGTGATAAACGGTTTGAATCCTATTTACTTCCAGCGAATACGGACTTCTTGTCGAATCTGATTCACAATACATAATAGGTCTCCCCTACTTCTCCTAGAAAAACAGACAAATTCCGCAATGATACCCGTTAAGTTTGTTACGGAAGGCTCGGGGACTATATCGCCACGCCGATAGAAACATGTGGTGTTAGAAACATGTACCGTAAGGTCCGGCCGACGTTGCCGCAGTTCATCTATTATATCATCGCTGTCAAGAGTTCCGCCACGAGTCACAGTGATTGGCACAAGATCGCACCAGAGCTGTGGGCCGTTGAGGTATGACTGTGACAAGGCTCGTAGTCTCCGGGAGTCTCCTGTTGCAGAGAGAAGCCAAAGAGTCGCAAAATCAACTCCATAAGTATATACCGTAGGATAAACACCAGCTACTCCGGGACATCTCGCATTGACTTCCAGGATAAATAGACTTGGGGATACTAGCCGAGAATGGTGGTTTTGGCGGAGATCCGTGATGCCATCTTCTACTGTATATTGCATATTCGACCCACAGACTCGGGCCTCCACGTGGAAAACACCTGTTCGAAAGCCTAGATTATCAACCAGCAACCGCTGTATTGCGTCCCTTATCACAAGAATTTCCGTCTCGCCCAGACCAGAAGGGTACACCATGTCACGTTCTAGGAACGAGTCGGTCTTTCTGTTTCCCTTCTCGTCTGCTGTGCACGGGAAATTGTCAACAACTTCGAAGAATAAAATTTCTCCGTCCAAAATGGCGAAATTGGCATCAATTTCAGGCCCATCAATGTAGTTCTCAACCATGACCCCAGACTTGCTACCATAATTTTCAATTCCCGTTACGGCATCAAAGAGCTGTTCCATATTGGTGACTTTTGATACGCCGACGGAGCCCTGGCCTTCACACGGCTTTACCACAAGTGGAAATTCTAAAGCCTTTGGGTGCGAATTAACTTGTTCCTTCAGGTGATGGAGATCTCGAGCGTACAATAGTTGAGAGCAGTTTGTCATTTCTCTCAGCCTCATTGCGAATTTATTGACACATACCGCAACTGCCGATGGAGGCGAAGTTGGTAGCCCTAGCTTCTCCGCCACTCTCGCCGCTGTTACCAGAAGTTGATCTCTGTAAGCAACGATGCCACTGATGATCTCTGGTTGGCTCTGTAGGGCTTCCACTATTCGGGGTTGCAATCCGTTGTCGAACGTCATGTCAACTGTTATAATTCCGTCCCGACAGTGGGAATGGCTTTTGTCGTCATTACTGTCCACGAGTAGTAACCGAATTCCAAGACTTTGAGCTGCGGCATAGAACATCTCCATTGATTGGACTCTATGGTGCCCTAGTGCAACAACTACCTGCCTCAGCGGAGTTGAAGGTAGCACCCATGGAATTGACATTCGGATGGCCAACTGGCTGTCAATGAAACCTAGGACTTCAATCGGTGACAACGTTGTGCTCCGTTGTAGAACAATTCCACCTGATGCACTGTGTATCAACTGCCGAAATCTTTCAGGGTTGGCGGAAGAAAGACATTCGTGGGTTATTTCTTCGAACGGTTCAAGAAATTCCTGGATGCTTTGTACATGCTCGCAGCCGGCCATACGTTGGGAGAGGATATTTGAGCAGACAACATATCCCCTCTCGGCTGGAATCAATAATTTTATGGCCAACTCGCTGAACCCTGGATTTTCTGATCGTGACTCTAGATGTGAGAGTATGAGAGCCATGGGGGTTTTCGAAAGATTGCCTAGGCCGTTACTTTTGCGTCGACTATGTTCGTCTAGAGACTCAACAAAAAGTTCTGTAGTCAAGACGTCTTCATGCGTTGTCGTAAAGAGAAGGTCTAGTGTGTTGAATGGCGATGCCAAAGTCGGTTCCAAACTCAACTCAGCTGCTTTGACTCTCCATTGACAAACGATCTGTTCTATTTGTAAGTTAGAGAGCTTGGCCTATATAAATTATGCTTCAAACCTACCGTCAACTTGGGGTAGTCGTATCATGCAACTTTGCCAAGTGTCCATTGCTACGACTATGTTCTTAGCTTTATGTTTTACAGGACGGGAGCGATAGGTAGAAAGTAGTAGAAGACGAAAGGGGGCCTTTGGGTGGTCACTATTTGAAGGGCAAGCAGCAATCAAGAAGAAAGGAATATGAGGCTGTTGATGCGTAAGGCAGCCAGTTCTGATGACGATAGGCTCCCTAGTCATATATTTGGCCTTGCTACCGCCCCCCCACTAGTTAAATGTAACAGTGGGCCAACAGAGCACAGACATTTCTAACATGCGGATCACCCCGGCCAAAGGTCCCACTTTTACACTCATTTAGGGGGAGGGGAGTGGGGCGGAGAACTTGCTAGCGCTAATAAGAGATGTGATTGTTCCCATTCCCCGTGCCCCTATACCTGATGCGAGCTGTCCTGGCCTCACTACTAACCTCACATGATCGCTGAATCCAACTCGATATATTTCTTCGAGTCTGTCCATTCGCGAAATAAGCACAATTCTGTGCCGCAATGCCTGATACGAGTCGTCCCGCGCTTCCATTCCGTGTTACCTTACCCTCTTGTCTTCTGACGTGAGAAATGAGTGTTCTACGCTGGGATGATCGTAAGCATTAGAAGTCGTGCCAAGTGGCATGCTTTATCTGGCTCTGGTTTCAGCGATTTATTTCACTTCCTCGTTCCTTCGTTCCCCGGGTTTTTTTTATCGGGGTTCAGTCAGGGGTACCTTACACTGTGGGTCATTTGTCAAGTGTGGCAATTATCTCGAATGGACTCCTTCATATCTCGTTCTTAACTCCATACTCACGGTTTCCTGACTTTACAAAGGCTATGTTCTTTGACATCCGCGATCCACTGAAACAGCAGAGTTGAACCAACCGAACTAACTCCGAAGGCACCAACATCAGGAACCTCGGTATTGCCATCGGGGCATACGCGTGGTAATGTGCGAGCGGAAGAACAATGTCGCTCCGCGGCGCTGCTGGCGCAATACCACCTCCCCGAGCGTTTCTGGGATTATGCCAGGATATCCATATTTGACGTCGAAATGACCTTCCTAAACCGGATAATTACTACGTTGCTATGCGCGGGGACGTGGTAGTGAGCGGTAGTACAATGTCTCTCTGCGGCGCTGCTTGCGCAATACCACCTCCACGGGCGTTTCTAGGATCATTCCAGGATATCCATATTTGACGTCGAAATGACCTTCCTAAACCGGATAATTAGGATTTCAAGTAGCACACAAAATTGCAACCATTAATGGTCTTGGAAATCTGTGCTTGGTCAGCACGCTTACGGAGTACAGATACTTTGGTTAGTGTCTCCTGCCCCAAACAACCCGCTCTGCCTGATGTGAAAGCCACTACTGTCTTATACTAAATCATTTTTATCTATGTTTGCTTCAATGCTCCGCTACTAAGCTTTTACAAGCAATGGACTTCTCAGGTTGCGTTGACGACGATTCTTTCGGACCAGCAGTTCATGGTTGTCGGGATAACTTCGATTTCACGATCAAGTTCGAGAATATTTTCCTCTCTATCATCCCGGCTTCCTTATTTATCGTCATTGCTCTAGGAAGGATCATTATCCTTAGTCGTCGGCCGGAAGCCGTCAGCGGATCCATTTTGCGGGGCGTTAAATTAGCAGCTACCAATGCCTACGGTGCACTTCAACTGTCACTTCTTATTTTCAGCACGGATTCGACCAAGCCCCGAGCGCTATTGGTAACATCAACAGTAGTATCATTCTGTTCGTCCATTTGTATCATAGGCCTCTCGTTTCTGGAGCATTCCCGATCAGCTCGACCATCGATCTTGTTGAACGCCTACTTACTCCTCACTGTCCTCTTTGATGTCGCACAAACCAGAACGTTATGGCTTGCCTCTACCAACTTCCAAGAGCTCATATTCTCGCGCTTGTTCACGGTTTCCGTTGCTGTGAAGGCGATTCTCATTATTATCGAGTCCCAGCACAAATCAAGATGGGTGCTGTGGGATGTGAAAGGGCATAGCCCCGAGGAGACGAGCGGTATATTCGGTTTAAGCGCCTTTACATGGTTACTTCAGATGTTTTTAGTAGGGTACACCAAAATCTTGACTCTAGATGACCTCTTCCCTTTGGACGGAAGCATGGCCACAGAAGCCTTGCAACTGAGGCTTATGGACAATTTGAGGTCTTCCAAATCAAAAGGACAGAAACGCGGGTTTGGTCTAGCCAAAGCTATGGCAAAGACTCTCAAAATTCCGCTTTTACTTCCGATTGGACCTAGAGCAGCCCTCATCGCTTTCAAGTTCTGCCAACCATTTCTCATCAACATTCTCTTGAATTACCTGGAAGAACCCTCAGATCATGCCTCGAAAAATCGAGGCTATGGCCTCATCGGCGCCACAATACTCATATATACCGGTATAGCCGTGTTCACCGCTCTCTACTGGTACCTACACGAGCGTACACTTTGCATGTCTCGGGGATCTCTTGCCGGAGCTGTATATAGAAAGACGACGGAGGCAAAAATTACCACTATCGGCGTCTCAGCGGCTATCACCTTGATGAGTGCCGATGTTGAACGTATTAGACTTGGTTTCTTGAACTTACATGAATTTTGGGCAAACTGCATCGAGGTCGGTCTTGCGGGTTGGTTGCTTTACCGCCAGTAAGGACCTTCAATTCCTTTCCATCTTTTTTAATGTTGTTCGTGATCTTTCTCCTCCCACTCACCAACCACTTCAAAATTAAATTTCCTACCTTTTACTTATTCTAGCCTTACAAGCAGAATCACACGCTGATTTTCTGATAATCTAGACTCGGTGCAGCTGTTGCTGCCCCTCTCATCATTGTCCTCTGCTGTGTCATCGGCGGTGCATTTGGGAATAAATTTACTGGACGAAGACAAAGAGCATGGATGAACAAGATCCAAAAGAGAGTCGGATTGACAGCCAATATCATATCAAATATGAAGCATCTCAAGATTTCCGGTCTCGCCTTGCCGGTAGAGGAATTGATCCAAAATATGCGAGTCGATGAACTCCAAGCAGCATCCAGATTCCGGACAGTAAATGTTATTGTCATTGTTTTTGGCTATGTTCCTCTGGCGCTTGCCCCCGTCATAACCTTTGCGGTCACGTCCCGGACTCTCGATGCAACTACGATATTTACATCAATCTCGTATTTACTTTTGTTAACCGATCCTCTAAGCTATCTTTTCCAAAACAGTCCAAACCTCCTTGCCGCGTTCGCATGTTTTGAGAGGATTCAGACTTTTCTGGAGAAAGATCCCAGGGTGGATTTCCGCACGCCGAGACTGCATATCCCAGACCCCGAGCTTGAGAAATATGGATCCAGCTCCGAAGTGAAAGAAAGCGACCCTGAGCCGTTGGTCACTATCACCAATGGCAATTTTGGGTGGGAAACTAATAAGACAACCCTCAAAAATATTAATCTTGAGATTCCATCCTCTCGTCTCACGATGGTAGTTGGACCTGTTGCATCAGGGAAATCTACCTTGTGTAAAGTTCTCTTGGGTGAGATACCCGAATATCAAGCTCAAATTACCATGAACCATAGCATTGCATCTCGCCGAGTAGGGTACTGCGATCAAACTCCCTATCTATCAAACGCTTCAATCCGGGCAAACATTATTGGGTTTTCTCCATTCAACCAACAACGATATAAAGATGTGATCGAGGCAACTATGCTAGAACCGGACCTAGCTGTATTACCCAAGGGGATGCAACAATAACGGGTAGCAGCGGTATTACATTAAGTGGCGGTCAAAAGCAGCGAGTTTCGATAGCGAGAGCTTTATATCTCCACACCGACTTCTTCGTTTTCGATGACATTTTAAGCGGGATTGATGCAATTACCGAAGAAAAAGTTTTCACTCGTATCTTTGGTCTTCATGGTCTTTTGAGGCGCCGGAATGCGACAGTGGTGTTATGTACAAACACTCTCAGGCGTTTACCGTTTGCTAATCACATTGTCGCCTTGGGAATGGACGGGAGTATTGTTGAACAGGGCTCATTCCAAAAACTCCTCACTAACTGGAAGTATGTGCAAGATCTCGGATTCGAGCCAACTGACGATATAATACTGGAAGAGAGCCATTCTCCTATAGAGGCCGAAGAAAGTACAGGTACAGAACTTCGAAAGATAGCTATAGGACAACCTGTCACCCAGAGCCTCACCGATGAGAAGAAGAGAATGAATGGAGACTCTGCTGTTTACATGCATTACATGAAAAGCCTTGGAAAGAGATCTATCGCAGCTTTCCTCATCTTTGGTGTTGGATGGGGATTTTCCTACAACTTTGGCAACATCTGGCTGACATATTGGTCCAAGGACATCGGTTCCGCCCATCCACGGCGGACAAACTATTTTTACATCGGCATATACGCTTTGCTCCAACTCCTCTACCTCGCATCACTTTTCTTTTCTTTCATGGTCTGCTATCGGACGATGGTCAGGGTCTCTGGATCAAAACTCCACAAGGCTGCATTAAACACGGTGATCAACGCACCCTTGAGGTTTTTCGCTACTACAGATACTGGACTCGTCACAAACCTCTTCTCTCAAGACATGACACTCATTGACAATGAGATGCCGGTAGCGTTGACGAATCTTGTTCTTGATAGTTTCAATGCTTTGGGAATGGCTGCAGTGATTGCGACATCGTCTCCTTTCCTCGCTATTACTTACCCCTTTCTATTCGCGATCCTCTATTGGATTCAGAAATTCTACCTCCGCACATCCCGGCAGGTACGACTTCTGGATCTTGAAGCGAAAGGTCCCCTCTAGTAAGTTATCCAATTGGTTCTTGGATATTCTTCGAAACATCAGCTGGCTAAACTTCCAACAAGTACCCACTTCCTCGATACAATCAGAGGAGTTACGACTTTCCGCGCCTTCGGATGGGTCCAAGATGGAATTGACTTGAACAATCGCCTTCTTGACACATCTCAGAGACCCACGTATCTCCTCGCCATGGTTCAAAGGTGGCTAAGCTTTACTCTTCAGATGCTTGTCGCCATTCTAGCAGTTGTGGTAGTCACACTAGCTACCCAAGTTCGCTCCAGTACTGCTATGACCGGTGCCAGCTTAGTTACGCTGATGACATTCGGCGATGTCTTGAAGTATATTATCAGGTGGTGGACTCAGCTTGAGACGTCTATTGGTGCTGTCAGTCGGTTGAAGAGCTTTGGTGAAAAGGTTAGGTCGGAGAGTTTGGATGGTGAAGATGTAAAACCGCCGAGGGAGTGGCCTCTGAGAGGTGCTATTGAGATTAGTGGAGTCTCGGCTTCCTATGGGTAAGTCCTCACGTGGCTGTAGACCGTTGCATCAAGGTCTTTATTAATGTTTCATACAGCGACCTCAATGGACCTGCTCGTGACTTAACTAGTAAGGATAATATTAGCGGGGAAGCTTCACAAACTCTAGCCCTTAAAGACCTCACCCTCTCCATTCAGCCAGGAGAAAAGGTTGCGATCTGTGGACGAAGCGGAAGGTATATCCACCTCTTCCTAGGTTTAGCACCAACTAACAGATTACTCTAGTGGAAAATCATCAACAATACTCCTCCTCCTCCGTCTCCTTGAACCCGTCCCCTCCTACTTCCACACTATGACAATTGACGACATCCCCCTCCACAAACTCGATCGACAAACCCTCCGCGAGCGTATAATTGCCGTCCCACAAGACGCCGTGTTCCTTCCAGACGGATGCTCCGTAATGGCTAACCTCGACCCCCTCAATACCTCCAACGAAGCAGAGTGTCGTTCCGTTCTCGAGACGGTAGGTCTCTGGAAATTCATCGACGAACGAGGAGGCTTGAACGAAGAGTTTTCAGCGGATACTCTGTCTCAAGGTCAGAAACAATTATTTAGTCTTGCGCGTGCTGTCCTCAAGCGTAGAATTCGGGTGCGAGACTACGAGGTAGACTTTGGCGTTACGACTAGCGTTCAAGGGCGTGGTGGGATCTTGCTGTTGGACGAAGTAAGTTCGAGTGTGGATCAGGATACGGATCGGGCTATGCAAACAGTTATCAAGGAGGAGTTTGAGAGTTATACTATTATTATGGTTAGTCATCGATTAGAGATAGTTATGGATTTTGATACGGTGGTTGTGATGGAGGAGGGGAGTGTCGTTGAGTCCGGGAACCCTAGGACTTTGGTTGATACGAATGGGAGTCGGTTTAAGGAGTTGTGGTTGGCTGGGAATAACGCCTGAGGCCGGTGTTAGGACCATTTTAAATTAATATGGTATACAATATCATGCTTAAGACGGATCTGATTAAACATTTTTGTATCTAGGAACTGTTAAGTTGCTTTGTATCGGATTTGGTAGCAAGTTTCGATTCTGGATACCATGCCAGTTGGCATCAATAATAAACCCATAGAGCGCGGTATGAAAGCTCTGTGAACTCTCTGCAATTAACATGTTAAGTCTATATCCGCCGCACGGGTTGTGAGCTCGGATGTTTGTCGCTGCCGATTCTTAACGCGTTGAAATATTGGGGCCAAATTATCTTCAAAAACACCGCTAAGAACCCCATTACGGGCAAGCGACTTTCTATGCCACCAATTTAGGAGGACTATGCCCTGTGGAATGTGTCGCTAGTTCTTAAATATGACGTTCGTCGAGGATCTGAATTGATGTTTGGCAAAAATCAGATCACTAGGGCCTCGAGCAGTTCAGAACCTGCTCGTGGGTCTTTACTCCCTCTCGCCTTGTATTTCTAATCTAGCTAACTGAGGAGGACTCTTGGGAGGCTTTTACCCCATGCAGACTTTAATATCTCACTTCATTCCTCCAGTGGGTGCCTGTTCATTGCTACTTATTGGTCTTTCTACTGATATAAATTCTTACCTGTTCTTGGGAAGTATATTGTTGAGATGCTGTGTGGTGAGTCGGATCCAGATTTAGAGAAGTGGTGGGCGTGGGATCGAGAGTTGCCGTCGACGGAGAATAATAACAAATGGCCGGAGAGAGAGTTGAGAGATCTGTCGCTGGAGGGTTAACGTGAACAATACGAATCCTGACTGAGTGGTCTAAAGAAGGATCCCTGCGGCCACAAGCTGAGCTTTGCTAAGCAGTTGTAGGCTCAAGCCAAATTGACGACTTCCTTGAAAACCGTTTTTTGTATCCTTATAGTATAGGTAACGCTTTATTTATGAATTATCGATTCAATTGATCACAGAAAAAGAGGGAACAGTCCCGCAAGGTGCTCCCGATATTGGATGCACAGAGACCTTCTCCCACCCTCTCTTTCTCACAGAGGCCTCGGACTCGTTCATACTCCTTTCTGACAATTATAAAGGACTCCTGCGGCCAAATGTAGTTGGGCACTTAATAAAATCATAGAAACTAGCCTTCCTAAGAGCAGGAAAAGGGGGCTAAAAGGAAATCAAATTCTCAATTGCATAAGCACCCTTTCAGGGCAGTCTTAGAAGAGTACTAGCATACAACCAAAAGAGAGTTAGCCTCTAGTTATTACTCCTTTGGGCGAATAATCCTGGTTCGGGAATGCTATGCGAGTTAAACAAGGGGGTTGACAGAGGTTATTAGGGGCACACAGATATCAAATCTAATTGTAATATTATTAGCCTGTCATTGAGCGAGTTGCTTAACCGGGAGGATTATAACGGTTCTTATATTCCGTGCTACTCTATTATACTCGACTTATCCGTGCTTATGTCTCTTACGTGCCATTACAAGTCAAATAGGAGTATAATGTATTGGAAAGTCACGTGGACGATCGGAAACTTTTAACTCTAAGCCCAGTCTCACTATCAGATTTGACTCATTACCTATTACTTGCTACCTTATATTTCCTATTAGTCCCTAAATATACCTCGAATCAAACTATAACTCTGAAAAATCCTCGCTAATAGCTGCTGAAACATCAATTTAAACAATACCTTTCTCAGGGTGTCCAGTAGGGAGGACATCGGCCAACGTCTCGTCGGAGAAAACCAAATCTTCTTCCACTGTCACATGGTCCTTGATCTTTAGCCAAATGACAGGTGCAGCGCAGACAAGCGAGAAAGAGAGAAGCCCCCAGGTGGAGGCGAACTCTGCCATGAAAGATCGTTTGTTAGAGTCAATAGACCAAATGACGGCGGCACCTGCGGACTGGATGCCCTTGTAGAAACCGACGTAGTTGGCCATCTTTCGGCCGGAGTTAGAGAGAGCACCCATGAACCTCATTTGATGTTAGCTTCGAACTTTTCTATGAGAATTATGAATTAAAACTTACCAGTAAGCAGATGCCTGCCAACTTGCATCATAGAAGCCGTAAAAGATATAAAGGAACATCTTGCCAACATATCCGTCATCTTGCCAGTCCATTGGAATAAACGTCTTTTGAGCAACATCAGCACGAGTGTAGGTCTTGGCGAAGTCATATCCACCACCCCAGATCACCATTGTAATGACAAACAGCACTAATACGCATACTTTGGCACGAACTGTTCTGCGGACTCGCTCAATATCGAGACAATATCCGAAAATTAAGGCTCCCCAAATCTGAGCAGTCCAGTACAAAAGGTTGTTGAGAGCCTTAGTACGAGTGTTGAAGTAAGCTCCGTTGAATGCATTGAACTGGTAAGTGGTAAACCAGTTGGATGACCAGAACATTGGGAATAGGAGGATGATGTAAGGCTCCGTCCTGAGAGTCGTATAAAGTCCAATGAACTCTGACTGCCATGTTGGGTGCTTCATGAGGACGACACGAGACCCATCCTCACGGTAGATATCTTTGGCGTTGCATAGAAGCAGAGCAAGAAGGAAACCAATGAACATCAGGACAATGAAGGCAATGTAGGTGCCATCGTTAACTGTGCTATTGGTCTTAACGTGAATGTTTTGCCCAAGAGGAATCTCGAAGCTGTTAATCAATGATCTCAACAAGTTGGAGCGGGAATTATCACGAATCTTCCATGAGTCATTCCTAGGGAATCTCACTGAAATTCTAGTAAGGCGATAAAAAAATAATGAAAGAAAAAGGGATTAGAACATACCAAAGCACCAATGACACCACCCAAGTTGAAAATGGCCCAGAACCAGGCAAAGTATCTTCCCTTGGATCCTTCGTTGGGATACGAGAGCATGATGGTTCCCTGAGCAGTCCATAGCAAACCGGCGCAAATACCGAGGAAAGCACCAGCAAATATACTGAAGCCTCCGGTGTGGGTGGAGTGAACAGAGACCAGGAGAGCCATGGCATAAATGCAGTAGCCAATTCCACCGAATGATAGAGTGTATTTGACACCCAATCTATTGACGATGCTGCCGCCGAAGAACCCAAAGACAGCGAAAGTACTGTACAGGGCGGTGTTCTAGAGATTTCTATAGTTAGCGATTTGAGGGGCAACTTTGTGGATTTCAGGAAATATTGGCGCACTTACCATGTTATCAGCAGTAGTCGCATCAGCCTTTCCACCACCTCCCAAACCTCCAAGAGCATTGAACATTCCCGGGCACATGAAGCAGACAAATGCAACCATGGTGAGCTGGGTCTTAGGAGAAGCATACCACGGAATCTGAATAGGCCCAATCTTGACCTCTCTATACATCCATCCCTCAGGACGGCCCGAAGCGCCGACGGGCTCCTCATCGATGGGGTCACTGGAAACGGTGTCCTTCACATCGACAGGAACATCGGCAGCTGTCTCGGGGATCTTCTCATTGATGTCTGCCATAGCGGAGGCAGAGAGCTAAGTATCTATTCGAGTATTGCAGATCACATAGGCATTTGAATAATTGCTTCTCTGCTCGAAGAGTCGGTGGATGGAGCTTCCAAACGACAAGTGCAGGCGAGAAGGCCTGTATATAACTTCTTCACTATCTTGACACGCGCCGACACACACGAGATCGTTATCCGACCTCCAGGCCGCGAGTGGACCCGAATTGCTTACCCGCAAATCAGTGAAGCTTTAGCAGGACATCCCTTGCCTTTGGGCCCTTGGGCTGCGCCTTGATAAGTTGCAATGCTGGAGCGCGGGTGGCTTTGCAGATGCTACCCTGCATAAGATTCTACGGCAGGCCAGCAGTTGTACGTACAGTAGGGTGCCATGAGTATTCTACAATGGCCCTGTGTGTGTGCACGCTTTATTCAGCCAACTAGAAGTCCTCGCCAACCGATACGATTTGTTTAGTGTGCACGTGCCAGGCCGAATACGTATGGCACTCTACTGTAACGTTGTATGCTGATGACAAGAACCCCCGTTATGAGGCCGAACCCGCTGATCCTGCACTAAGCGCGTCCCCGAACGGCTTTTTTTCTAGCGCGACCCAGCTCGCCGAGGTTACAGTGTAGGGTTACAATACGATTATCTTTCTAGCCTGGGTCGCGGTCTCGTTTCTTTTTGTCGATTTCATTGGAGTGAGATCGATTTACCGCCCACCCTACCCCACCAAAATTTTCTCGATGTTAGAAAGTCTTTGGAAAATTCTAAAAAAAAAATCCAGATTATAGAGAATACTCGAAATATTGCGAATATCGCATTGATTTTTCGAATTTGTGGCGTTAAGGTCTCCAAAATCCAAGTTGAGCGGGAAGGGGGTTTGGACGGTCGGTGGACGATGCCTTCTAATAGGCGGTGGCGCCCCTGCGACTTGTCTAGTAGGGAGACTAGGCCCGAAAAATCGTAGCACTACCGCCTCTTCAGCGATAAGAAGAGCGAGTAGCGATAGCTATTCTGCTAGGAGGTGCTGGTACAGGCGATAATGTTGCCGTGGCGGCTCGTTACGGGCACGTAATCGTTGGCCGTGGTTACATGGCCATTTGCTCGTTACATGCATGGATTGCCGGAGCCAAAAGTTTAGGCGGAAAAGCTCAACACCTATTCGATGCCGTTTTAGCCGGGAGACCACTTAATACGAATAATTAACTCGACTTCTCTGTACTTTAATTAGCGATTCTACTAATATTATAGTAGGGATTTCTCTCCTGATTACGTGGCGCGGTTATATAACCTCCGAGTATATAGTTATCTATTATAATATATATAAAGGTAACAGGCGTTAAAAATCGTCTATTTATTAAGTATATACAAGAATATTAAAATTGCCTTATAAAAAAAATTATACTAATTTCTAATATAACTCTTAAAACCTTTTTATAAGAGTTTTATATAATCGAAAAATAATATATTTGTAATAGCAGGAATAGAGTAATAGAACGAGGCTTAAAGATTAATAATTTCCTATATCTTAAGAATTTAAAGCTAAGGAGGAAGAAGTGAGGTATGGTAGTAAATAAGTAGATATAGCCAAGATTACTAAAATACCGAGCTTTGGAAGCAAGCTTGATTTGAACTATAACTTGGAACCTTAGCTAAAACTAACTCCTTTAGCTAAAACCAATTATATAATACTAGCTATTATATTACTTTCTCTTTAAAAAGCTTGTTTCAAGTATTAGAATTTATAAGAGTATAGAAATAAAGGAAAAGCTAAAGCAAGTATAGTAAAAATAATAGAATAAAGAAAAAGAACTCTATTCTAATTAAGCTATAAAACCAGCCTTCTCTATATAATTAAAAGCCGTATCTAGAATTAGATTTCCTCTAGATTTACTAGAATTACTACCAGAATTATTATTATTAATTATAGTAATTATAACCCGTTTACTAGAACTAGAGAAAGTGCCTTTAGGTAGCTAGATATAGTTTTTTATCTAGTAGCTATAGGAACTATATCTAAAGTATTATTCAGATTTCTGATAGTTTTAATAAACTAGTATAGATATAAGAATACTAATTATGAGTTTACTAATATCTATAGAATTACTAGTAATTCTAGAAATAGTTTAATATAATAGAGCGGCTGTTTTTAATAAGAGCTACTAAATTATATATAGGAAATTAGTATAAACCCAAGATAAAGTTAATTATTAGACTAAATAAGAGCAAATTATAAAGTTAAAGCTATTATAAAAGCTAGAAATTTTATTAATAACTGGCTAGCTTTAACTATTTGCTTTATATAAGATATATTTAAACTTAGTAATATAAATAAAAAGGGAATTATTACCTTAATAAAGGATATATAAATGGTTTTTAGCCTCTAATTACTTATTTGAATTATTATATACTTATAAAAGCTAATCTAGAATTATATTATAATTTTATAATTAAGCTTGCTTTATATAGGAAAGTTATAGCAGAACTATTAATTAGATAAAGAACTTTAAATTAAGATAAATATAGTAAAACTAGATAATAGAGTTTCTAATAGCCGGGCTATTAATCTATAGCTTGGCCTTAATTAAAAGCAGCCAGGTATTAAACTTATATATTAATCTAGTAAACTTCTCAGGATCTGAAAGCTTCGATTTCTGGGTATTTTTTGCTTATAAGATAGTAATTTCAGAGTATAGGCTATTAAACTTATATTAGATATAAAATTAGAAAGTATTTATTCTTAAGGAAATATTAGTAAAGTTAGTACTAAAAAATCATAAAAATAAAGGTCTTTCTAATAGGCCGGATAATAATAGAATAGGTATTTGGGAATAGTATAGTATTTTACTAAACTAGATAAATAAAGGATATTAGAAGTAGTATTTTATTAATTAGATAAAATAATAATAGATAAATAGAAAATTATAGGCTTTATAATACTAATATCTGCTATTGAGAATATAAAAGCTTTAAATAATATAATAGCAAAAATAGAATAATAAAATAAGGCTTAAAGATTAATAATTTCCTATATCTTAAGAATTTAAAGCTAATAAGAAAGAAGTAAGATATAGTAGTAGATAAATAGATATAGCTAAGACTATTAAAATACTAAGCTTTAGAAGTAAGCTTAATTTGAACTATAGCTTGGAACCTTAGCTAAAACTAACTCTTTTAGCTAAAACTAACTCTTTTAACTAAAACTAATTATATAATACTAGTTATTATAATATTAATTTTTTTTAAGAATTATATAATAATTTAATTTAAAGAGAAATTATAAGACATTTATAATTATATAGCCTTTAAATTTTTCAAATTCTTATTTAGTAAATTAAATAAATTTAAATACTTACTACTTTTATATATTACTTATAATAATATAACTTTTATTATAAGGATATTAAAGATTTCGAAAGCCATATAATATTTCTTAAAAGTAATAATAAACTTATTTAAAAACTTTATATTTTATATATTAAATATCTTAATTAAATTAATTTCTAAATTTACTTTTTATAAGAATTTGTATTATATAAATATTATTAATAATTAAAACTAGAAATTATTAGTATATTAAAGAATTAATTAATATAATTAGATTATAATTAATATAATATAATTTTTTTAATAATAATAAACTAGTTATTTACTTTTAAAACTCGAATTTTATTTTTAATTTTTTTAGTTTTAAATATACTTTTATTAAGTTTATTATATAATTTAGATATAATAAAAGAATTTCTTATTAGTAGCTAAAAAAGCCCGAATTTCTAATATCTTCTAGTTATTAAAGCTAAAATAAGTAATTTAATAATATTAGATTCTAAAATATTAAGAATATAATAGTTAGCTAATTAAAGCAGTATGGGCTCTAATAAATTATTAATTGAAATTATTAATTAGTAATTATTATTAGTTAAATAATTAATAAATAATTAATATTAATAATTATTATTAATAAAAGTAGGTCCAGTTATTAAACGAGCCCTATTACGGCTTTCTAGTTTAATTATAAACCGATTAGTATTAAGATTAATATAAAAGTATATTATTATTACTATATTATTAGACTTTTTAACTTTTTATTTAATAGTCTATTATATAATATAGACTAGCTAGTATTTAATCCAGTTATTAATAATTCTATTAATAAAAGTAGGCCTAGCTAGCTATTAAGTAAGCCCTATTACCTTAATAATTATTAATAAAAGTAGGCCTAGCTAGCCTTTAAGCGAGCCCTATTACCTTAATAATTATTAATAAAAGTGGGCATAGCTAGTTATTAAGCAAGCCCTATTACCTTAATAATTATTAATAAAAGTGGGTCTAGCTAGCTAGCGAGCCCTATTATATAAATATCTCGCTTTCTAGTTTAATTATAAACTAATTAATATTAAGATTAGTATAAAAGTAGACTATTATAAATATACTATTATACTTTCTATTTAATAGTCTATTATATAATATAAACTAGCTAGTATTTAATATATAATACTAAGATTTATATTACTATTTCTTCTAAAAAAGATTAAAATTTTTATATTCTCTTTTATTCTCTCTTTAATATATAATAGTACTTTATTTTCTATTATTTAAATATGGCTTCTGAATCTGTCTTATTAATCTATTAAGCCTCTACTAATATAGACTTAACTTAATCTAAATCTAATTCTAAACAAAGAGAACTTATAAAAGCTATTTAGGCTTATACTTATTTCGGGTATTCAGATATAGGAGAACTACCCAAATATTACTATTATCTTTCTTATAAAAAGGAAAATCTATTAAATATTTATTCGACTTTAGTTTTTACTAATTAATATAATTATTTCAAGTTAGTATATAATATTACTATTAAGAGTAGATCGGAAATTAGTCTATTTTAATTAAAAGTAATTAACTAGCTATAATAGCTTTACTTATAAATAGAGTTATCTGGCCAAATAACTGAAATTAATATATATATCTTTTAATAATATCTTAATTAGGTAGTAATTTATAAAGCTTTGATTTTATTAATTATTATTTATAATCTACCTTTTCAAATAATTAAATAGCCCGAATTTCATATCTTTTATTAAGTACTTAATTCAGAATCTTAGTTCTTTCTTTCTATAACTCACTTTTATATAAGAAAAAAGCTTGGGGAATACTAGGTTAGCTTAAAGAATATTATATAATAAAAACTCTAATCTATAGTTTTAAGTATTTACCTTATTCTTAATATCTGAACTTCTTTATAAGAATATCTTCTTTTGGGTATTATTATATATTTTATTAAATAATAAGATAAGAATTATATAAAGGCCCTTCTAGTTCTTTATATAATACTAGATTATTTAGGAGAAAACTAATTTACGGTTTTATAACCTATATTTTAAGACTATAGTATTACTAAATAACTTGGAGCTATTATTAGTAATAATACTAGTATAAATAGTATATTATATCGAGCTATTTAGGCTTATTTACTAAGGGAAGAAGAATTGGAATAAAATGCTTTATAATAGCAGGTTTATTATTTAGGATATATTATTAATCTTTCTATATAAGCCTTTTTATTTTATAATATTTTTATAAATAGAGAATTAGAAATACTTAATAAATAAGAGAACTTGGGAGATTTAGAAGCCCTATTAAGTAATAAGAAAAAACAAATAAAATTTCGACTTTTGGAACTATTAGGTTAGCTTTATAATATTATTATATATATTTATTACTTTCCTAGTCGGATTACTAGATTTAAAGCTCTTACTAGAAGAATAATTTCTCTTAATAATCAGATATAATAAAATAGCTAGTATATAATACTTAATATTACTTTTTAGTAATATATTTATCTTAATACCTATTATAAGAAATATCTTATAGATCTGAAATTAGATTATCTTAGTTTAGAAAACTAGAGAAGGCTTTGGATAATTTCTATCTTTCTTAAACTATTTTATAGAATTACTCTTGAGACTTAAGAAGATACTATAATTATTAATTAGGTGCTTTTTATAATAAATGTTTTAATTCGAATATTTAATAGATTACTAGTAAGTAATAATTTTTATACTAATTTTTATATAAATTTTTATATTAATCTTTATACTAATCTTTATACTAATCTTTATTACTTAAATTAATAATACTAATTATAATATAATAGAATATATATATAAATAATAAAGACTTTTATATTTGAATCCGGAAAGAATAAGAGATCTTTAATATATATTACTATAAGTCTAATAATATGCCTCTTTATATTATTACTCTTATACTTTATCCGAATTACTATATAAAGTATATTAGGGCTAATTAGGAGAAAAGATAAATTTAGTTTATCTTAACCAAAATTAAAAAGCTTTAAAAGAAATATCGAAATTAGATATTTACCTCTAATAGTTTAGTACTAGTTAAGGAGATTAAATAGCTAGTAAAGAGAGAACTAGATAATTTTAATAAGATTACTCAGATATTAGGGAAATATATATAACTAGTAAATTAAAATAAATATAAGAATTATTATTAGAAGAAGCCATATAATATTAGAGACTTATCTATATTTTAATAATAGTATTAAGATATATAAAGAAAATACTAGCTAAAGCTCTTACTTATAATAATTAATATTCTCTTAATTCTAGTAATAAGTACTAAAGTAAAGCGAATCTTTTCAGGTACTTATTATATAATATTATAAGATAGGACCTAAATAATAGCTAAGACTTTAGAGATAGTAAAATACTTAAAGTATTAGAAAAGAAGTAAGATTTTGAGTGTTTTTATTAATACTAGTAAGAAATAGTAAGATTAATATAAAAATTAGTATAATTATAATTGTTTTCTTTATAATTTATAACTACTAGTATTTTAAAGATATATTATCTAGCTAACTACTGCTTTTACTAAAAAAGTTTCTCAAATATTATTAAATAATTATAGTATTTTCTATAACTTATAACTTAGAATTAGATAAAAAGATATATTAATATAAGCCATTCTTTGGCTTCTTTCTAGTATATACTAGTAGTATTACTACTTTATAGCCTTTTCGAGATTTAGTAAAGAAGTAAAAGCTAGTATTATTTAACTTAGCCTCGGATTCTAGCTATTAAGTAATAGGACCAGGAAAGTTAATTTATTTATTATTTTCTTATATTTAATTAGCCAAGTTTTTCTAAATAGCCTTTTTGCCTAATATAAAGAATTTAGTAAAACTAATAAATATAATATAGTTACTATATAATAATTAGTAATTAATATAAAGATAAGTAAAATCTATATCTATTATATAATAATCTAATCTTATAAAATAAGGATCTCTTCTTCTTTTACTAAGTTTCCTATTATATTATAAACTTAATATACTTATATTTCTATTTTAGTTAGTTTTATACTAATTTTTATATTAATTCAAAAAGAAGTTATATATCTTAGCTAAAGCTCTTTATATACTATTATCCTTTTCTTTTATTTTATTCTCTAAAACTTACTTAATCTCTTTCTTTTAATTAAGCTTTTTCTTAGTCTTCTATATCTCCTTAAACTATATATTATTCTCGGAATTATATTTAATATCTTCCTATACTAGGTTACTATTATCCCAAGCTATATATAAGCTATTATATTTATTATAGCCAAGTAATTATTTAACTACTTTCTAATTCTTTTCTTATTATTCTCTAAAGCTAGATTAGTATAAAGATTAGTATAAGAATATTCTGAAAATACCTCTTTAATTTAATACTTATAATAGACTCCTATAATATTTCCTACTATCTTAATAGTAAAGTACTCTTATATATTACCGAACTTATTACCTTGCATTTTACTATTATAATTATACCTTAATCTACTACTTTTGCCTTTTTAATTTTAGTATAAATAGGGTCTTTTATAAGAGCTTTATTATACTTATATACTTTTATAGTATTTGGGTTTTAAGACAGATCTATTAGTACTTTTCTCTTATAAGTAGTAATACGGACAGATCTAATAGAAGAGGCTAGTTGAGATACTATATTAATATAGCTACTATTCTATAATATTATAATTAGTATAAAGATTAATATAATATAAGTATAGACTTATCTTAGGCTCTAAGAATAATCTAATAATAATTAGTAATATTTTATAATTACTAATATATTTAGTATACTAATTATAGTTTATTACTATAGAATATATTATAAGAATAATCTATATAAAGATTAGTAGATTAATTAGTATATTAGAATACTAACTTATAGGTTATAATATAGAGTTATATAGTAATATAATTAAGTAGTTAAGAAAAGATTAAAAGGTAAGCGAGATAAAATAAAATAAATTAGATTTTATAATATAAAATAAATTACTTTTAAGATATATAAAAATTTTTTTAAGCTATTACCTTATTCTTTTTTATTACTTTACTTTAGCTAATATCTTTTCTTTAACTATATTACTTTAATCCCTTAATTAATCCCTTAATTAACTCTTTTTATAATATATCTCTTAATTTATATTAATTATTATACTAATTAAGATATAGTAATTATAATCTCTAGTTAATTATTTAATTATAGTATAAACTAAGCAAACTAATAGCAAGTATATTACTTCTAGGAAGGCTCTTATAGGCAAGGCTCTAAGAAAGACACTTGGCGGAAAAGGCTATATTCCTGCTATTATATAAAAGAGAAAATATAGGTTTAGACCTGGTAGTTAGTTAATTAGTAAAAATATTAGTATATTTACTAACTGGATTTATAGCCAAGGCCCTTTAAGAAATTAGAAAATATTAGAGAAGTACTGATTTATTAATTTTAAAGGTACTATTTTATTAATTAGTAAAGGAGATTTTGGCTCAGGAAGATAGATAAGATATATGTATCCAAGCTTCGGCTTTATATATTTTATAAGAGTTTATAGAGGCGCTTCTTATTACGGAGTTTGAGTATAAGTCATTTTTCTTAATTATACTAATTTTTATACTAATTTAATTCCAGTAACGAATCTTATAGCTATTTATATAAAGCGGGTTACTATCCAGAAAAAGGATATGAAGCTAGTCCAATGAATGAGATTAGGAATAATGGGTATTAGTAAGGTTGGCAAACGCCTTATAATAGTACTATAGGGTAGTTAGTTTACTTGGGTTACTGGCAAAGTAACCAGGTCAGGTATCAGGGAATTAACCTTTGTATCTAAGGCAAAGCAGTTAGCTAGCCATTAGATTAATAAAGTAATAACTCAAATTATTACTTTTTTAATATATCTCAAATTAGTTATATTCTTTAAAGAACTAGTATAAAGATTAATTAATTAATTAATTAATTGGAACAGAGAGCAGGAGGGGCAGATTCTGCCGGGCCCCTTACCGCCTAGAATAATAATTATCGCTAATTATTGATAATTATCGATTATCGACAAATTAGCGCGATTATCTAATCATTGCTTATCGAGCTTATCGGAGCCCACACTGAATTAAAGCACTAAAAACATTAATTATATCGTCTGTACTAGTAACTTCGTGGACTCTCACTCGCAACCGCACTATCGCAAGGCTCTTCTTCTATTATTCTTGTAGTACGGAAGATTACAAGTGTCTAAAATGTGGATTATTCAAATTTGGAGCATAGGGTCTGCAGAGACAGCAAGTGTGGACGTTAAGCGGAAGTCTGATGCATATTTCAGCTTGTTCACTCCCTGATTATTACACCTCATTTTTCAATCCGACGATGTTCTCGCGTTTAGGTAAACCCCAAAGACATTGAAACTTCTCACTCCCAGGATATATATAATCCCAGAACAGAAAGATGACAAGTGCTCCCATCGTTGGTAACGTGAACACCCAGAACACCCAAAAGTCTTTGGATATGACACCGTCCCCAGAAGGGTGGAAGTCAAAAAATGTAGTGCTGAAGATGGCCTGTTTTGGCAGTAAGCTAACAGAAAACCTTGAATATTACGATACAGTGTGTTGTGATGGGAGGGGTGTACGTACGGCGAAAAAAGTTCCCGGAAGAAACAAAACTCCCAAAATGGAGAACGTCTGCTGATTTTTGCTGAACTTTATACTGGCCTCATGCTTGATCTTGTCTGAAATGCGCTGCTCATCTGCGAGTGCTACAGCAAATCGATTCTGCACGGCTGATCTCAGCATCTCGACCCGAGAAAGTGTGACAACTACATCAGCAAGCAAATTTTCTAGCTTGGTCTTTTCGAATGTAATAGTACCGTGCATCACGTCACGTTTCTTTGAAAGATCGGGGCTTTGGTGATCGAGGGCTGCAGATTCTTGCAAGGTCCGTTCGAAGACCTTGACTACTTCGATCTGGGTTTGAGGATGTTTAGCTACAATTCTTTTGTGTATGTCCAGAAGGCTGTCTTCAAGGTCCGTTAGATGCTTGAGTCTAGTCGTGCCTTCAGGAGGGGGTTGTCCGATTTTGGCTTCGACATTGTGCAACCATTCTCTGGAACACTGGTCGCCAGTGGTTGAGATCGCATTCATTTCTTCAGAGAAAATTATTGAGGGCAGTAGCAGTGGGTACACACCATCCTTGTAAGTGAATCTGAGGCGCTCGAGGCATTCTTTCAGGATGGATTTTGTGGTTCCCTTGAAGAAACCGGTGGTAGTATGGGTTAAGGGTAAGTATGCCAAGGAGAGTTCCCACCCGTGACAGTGACCCGCTTTCATTCCTTGGACGTTGCGGTAGAGAAGCTCTGTGCAATGAATGAGCATTTATTTGAAGAGCTTCCCGTAAACTAAGGAAGGATTGTATATACTCACGTAGGTGCCTATCAGGTCCGTTTTTGCAAGTGACGGACCAGAGAAACGGCCCAACATTGTTTGTAGTCTCAAGCGTACGGTACGAAAGGTTCAACCTCTGTATCATCTCTGTGTAATCAAGGTGTGGCAATGTTAAAACTCTTGGCTCAAAGGTCGCTGGCTCACATTCTGGCTGAATGCTTCGCAATTGTCAGTACGAGGGACCGGTACACGTTTCAGAACTCACACAAGCCTTAAGCTGCCAATCACTTTTATTTTGTCGGTTGGGATTTTCGGTGTATATTCACCCTAAATAAAACGAAACTAGATTAATATTATAGACTGTGTGAGGAGAGGATACGTGCCTCTTGACGAAGCCAGGCTGTAAATTCAGCCGAGGTTTTCAAGGAACCCTCGGAAACAAAACTCTTTGTGGAATCCTGTGTATAATTAGCAGAGATAGAATAAGATTTGAATTTTTGTTTCCGATCTATTAGCACTTACATCGCAAATGAATATTTCGAAGTACAAAGTGTCTTGGTAGTGATATGCACTTTGGTTGAGAAATTTACGAAACATGAAATTGTCCATTTTCACAGCTAAGGCTCGCTGCGAATAAAGAAAATTGGGGGATGAAAGTGGCATTTTTATGCAGATCTCTTAATTAAGCTGCTGGTCCAGAACCTTGGCAATGGCTGGTAACCTAGACGTGGCGAGAAGCTGAAGCTGACCATCCAGTTGCCATTGGACGCCATCGTAGCCTCATTTTGTTAGAAGATATTCGTGTTGCTGTGTAATCCTTTCAAATAATATTATTGGCTGTGCACGCTGCTCGGTGGTGGCAGGTTCCGGGATATACGGGTTTAGTCAGCTCACCCCCTTACGCAGGTGCAGGCCCTAATGTTTGTTACTGTGGTCTTTGGGTAAATAATCGCACCCCTGGCAGGCTTCTAGCACTTTCGACCCCACAAATACGCCAAATCTGCCTTTCGTATTGGTTATCTACCCCATTTGAGGCTGACACCAAAACCCCCAGGGGTGCGATTGTTTGCCCAAAAACTACAGTATCCCTTCGTCCGCTGAGACATTGCCACATTAGCAGCCGCACATGAATACTTGGTGTTCAGGGTAAATAAACCCCTACCCTGTCGCGGGTGTTTCTAGTAGGTTCCAGAAGCAGGGGGTCAACCCACCAATTATTTAACCCCTCTCTACTCCCTTACTCATGCCGCTTTACTCACTATTCTACAGCCTTTAGTATCCCCAAGATGTCGCAATCCTCTCTCGACTTCTCTACGTCCGAATATAAGATCCCTACTCCCAAAACACTACGGCGGAATTGCACGCGCGACGAGCGCCTCCCCGCCCAAACTATTTACCTTTACGCTGGCTGGTCAAAGGACGATATTGCTCTCCAACTAAACCTTACGCCTGGGCAAGTCCAATACGCTCTTACTCATCGTGTTACCTCTCAAAAGAAGAGATCTGGAAGAAGACCCTTACTCGGTCCGGTAGAACGCAAACAGCTAGTTGAATGGGTATGCATATCAGCTAAAAATCGTCGTATGCCATGGAAAGAGATATCTGGGATCTTGGGATGGAACTGCTCCGTTTACGCGATTGAGACAGCCTTTAAATACGAGGGTTTTGCTCGCCGAACTGCTTTAAAGAAGCCTCTCTTATCGGAAGCATATATGCGAGCACGGTTAGCCTGGGCGGAGGAGCATAAAAACTGGACTTGGGAGGACTGGAAATGGGTATTTTGGACAGATAAGACGTAGGTAAGTCCTGGGAAGTACAAGAAGGTCAAGGTAACTCGGCGTATAGGTGAAGAAGTCTTATACCCTGATTGCCTTGAACCTAAAGTAAGAAAGAAGATCGGATAGATGTTTTGGGGAGGGATCTCAGGTGCTTGGGGGAAAGGACCGAGTCTCTTTTGGGAGAAGAATTAGGGAATAATTATAGCTGAGTCTTACTCTCGTTATATTATCCCTATCGTTGCCTAATATATCTCTCGTTAGAGGTTGATTTTTTATGCAAGACAATGCCTCTGGGCACGTAGCAAAGGCTATGTTAGCGAAGATAGAGAGATAGGGTTTAAGGCCTATTTTTTGGCCTGTAAATTCCCCTGATTTAAACCCAATTAAGACCCTTTGGGATTGGATTAAGGACTATATATAAGAGAAGTATCCTGAGATCCACTGGTCTTACCCTCGCTTGAGAGAAGCTATAAATAAAGCTTGGAACTCAATTACAGATAAGCAAATAAGGGAGTTAATTAGGACGATGCATAACAGGTATTAGGCTATTATTAATATACGAGGAGGCTATATAAAATACTAGAGAAATTAATAATATTAATAACTGAACTTAGTAAAAGTAGTATAAGTACGTGAGTGGCAGTGAGGTATATAGAGTACTAATAGGGTAGGGGTTTATTTACCCTGAGTACTAAGTATATCTAATTTAGCCAGAATATAATCCAAATTAGGGATATTCATATGCGGCCGCTAATATGGCAATATCTCAGTAAATAAAGGAATACCGCCTTTATAGGGAGTTATACTAAAGTGCTATATAGCATATACTATAAGCGAATTTGCTTGGCAGAATCCAAGGCGGTATAATAAATATTAGAGCCTGTACCTATATATAAGAGTTACTAATACACTTATACCTAGACGTGGATTAAGAGCTAACTAAGTATTCCTGCCTACTAAAATAATTATATAGTTGCAATTCTATTAACTTATATTATAATTTTACTAGTAGTTAATATATAACTAGTTTAATTTATATTATAATTATAAATATTTGACTTTTTAATATTAGTCTCTCTATTATAAGTATTACTTTTATTAATTCCTAATTTAGTAAAAGCTTCTTTTTCTTTTATATTTAGAGTATTAAAAAAAATTAAGACTAGTTAATTATAGTTAATTATAATTTAATTTAGCAGATTTTAACTTAATTTAATTTAATTATAGTTATTATATAATTATAATATATATAAAATTATATATAACTATATTATATATAATAAACTTCGGGTATTAATTAGAGAAATTAGTAGCCTTTTTATATTATTATATTATTACTAATTATATTATAGGCTTTAAATCTATAGTTTTTTAATTATATATATATTATTAGAGTTTTCTATATAATAGAAGCTTTTCTAAATCTTATAAAAGAAATAGAAATTAGTTTTATATTAAATTTAATATTATAGTTTTATAACTTACTAATTTATTTTATTATCTTATTATTTATTAATAAATACTTTATAATAATATTAAAAAAACTTGAATTTCTTAAATAACTAATAGCTATATTAATAAAATATAAATAAAACTTATAAAATATATATAAGAATATAAAGCTAGTTTAAATTAGATATAAAAATAATAATTTTTTTTTTAGAAATCTTTTTTTTATTTTTTATTTATTTTATTTCTTTTTATTTTAAAAAATATTAAAATTAATTAAAGATTATTAAAATAATTTCAAATATATTAAATAAAAATAAATAGGTTTATAATTAAAAGCTTTTGAATTAAAGCTAACAAATATTTCAAATAATTTTTTACTAATATATAAGTTATATATTAATTCTTATATAGGCTATAAATATAGTTACTAGTATAATTTTAAGACCTAAATAATATATAATTCTGTTTTTTTATAATAGTATTTTATTAAGAAAGCTAATAAGAAAAATAAAAAAAATAATAATAAATATATTAGATTTTATATTCTTTTTAAGATTTAATTAAAGTATTATAAAGTTATAGAATTAGAAATTCGATTTTACTATTTATATTACTAATAACTAGTTATAATATTAAAGGTTATTATATTTATATTACTAATAACTAGCTATAATATTAAAGGTTACTATATTTATATTACTAGTAGAACTTTACTTTTCTTTTTAAGTAATAAGAAATACTTTATATAAGCTTATTACTTTTATTAATACTTTCTAAAATTTATTTATAGCCTGTTATTATCTAATATAAATATATTATTACTAAATCTATAATTATTTAAGTCTATATTTTAATAGTAATAATTACTACTTTTTAATATATAGCTTATATTTATAGAAATATTATCTAGTATTACTTATAAATCTATTTATAATTATATTTAAGAATTAGTTAGAAGAAGTAATACCTCTAATTAGCTAATAGAAAGAGAAGTATTAATTATCTAGTATTAGTATTTACTATTATTATATCTAGTATTTTATTTATTAATATATTTCTTTTAAATATAAAGTTATATATCTTTATATATACTAGAATTAACTAGAATTTATTAGCTAGGCCTTCTAGTATATTTATCTAAAGTTCTATATTATAGGAGTTCTGCCTTTTCTATAATAATATATTTTCTATAAGCTTACTAGAATAATTATTTTTCTAATAAGCCAGAGTTTACTTATTTCTATTTAGGTTTTCTTTTTTTCTATAATTACTTACTTTCTTAAGAAAACTTTCTTATTCTTTTTATAAGTCTTTTATATTCTATTTCTTAGCTAGGGATTCTTATTATAAAGCTATAGCTGCCCTTATCCTATATAATTATTAACTTAGAAATATTTGCTTTTTTTAATAAATAGAGTTTACTAAATATATTAAGATCTATAATTATTAGTCTTTAATTCGGGTTATTTTACTTATTATAACTATAATAATAAAATAAAGAATTTAGAAATTACTAAAAATACTTTTTATTCTTTTTATTATTTTTTACTAATTATTTAGTACTTTTAATAACTTTCTAGATCTATTTACTATTACTTATAAAATTCTTTAATAATATATCTTATATTCTAATTCCTGAATTTAATAATTTCTTTAGTTACTTAAGCTAAATTTAATAACTTCTCGGATTACTATAACTAAGTATTATAACTTTCTAGATTAAGATTAGAGTTAGTATTAAATAAAGCCAGTAATTAGTTTATAACTTGAGATAATAGCTAGTAAATATATTCTTATAATTAATAGAACTCTAGCTACTTAAATAGGAATACTTAGATTACTTATTAAAAAATCGAGATATTAAAGAATATTTTAGTTAAATAAAGCTTATTATATTTAGTAAGAAAATATAAAAGAAAAAAAGAAATCTTTATTATTAGATAAAACTATAAGAAAAAAAAGATCTTTATTATAAAATAAGATTATAAAAGAAGAAAAATCTTTATTATAAGATTTAATAATAAGAGAAAAGAAAGAATTAAGGCTAGTTTTATATATATTTAAGAAAGAAATACTAGATATTTCTATTTCCTGGATTTTTCTTTTAATTTTTTTAAAGAATATAAGAATTATTTTCTAAATATTTCTGGATTCTATTTTCTTTTTTTCTTAAATCTTTAGGTTATAAGATATATAAAAGAATTACTTTTATATTCTAAAGCTTTAGGAAAAATCTAGTTCTAAAAGAATTATTATAAATATACTTATAGCCTAATATATTAGATATATTTCCTAATTATATAGGTTTAGAAATATATTTAATATATTAGATATTATTTTTACTTATATAATTTCTTTTTCTTTTTCGGAAGCTTTTATTTCTAGAATTCTAAAAACTACCCCTTATGCGGGGCCCCTTTTTCGGTAAAAGGTGAGAATGCCCGTACGCTAATTGGTGCGTACGCCGCTGACTAATGCACTTTCCGGTAAAAGGGATTTCGGTAAAGGGGCACCTCCCCTACTACCTTTTAATGAGCATTCCCTTGTCTCGAAGTGCGTTCTCATTATATTATCATATAATCTAGCTTATAGAGTTACTATCTATTATGCCTGCAAGTCCTGTATTGTCCTAGAGGCATATAGTCAAGAGCGGCACCTGCAAGCGCAGCCACACCAACTCTTGGGAGACGAGCTCAAGGCGACTGCAAAGCTTCTTAATAGCTATAACTTGAGGGGTGTGGCCGAGCTAAGAGAGTACAAGCCCCGGCCTAAAGACAAGTACCAGATAACTGAGCACCTAGTTAGCTACGATAGCATTTACTGTCTATAGCCGTAGTATAGCTATAACACCTGCTTATAGGGCTGGGTCTTATATATTAAAACAAGGAATTACTTTGCAAAACTCCATTGCCCAGTATAGGCTAAGCAAGAACTAACTGCAATTGAATAGCAGTTACTAAAAGGCCTGATAGTATAATGGTAGCACACAGAGTTAGCAAACTCTGTAGCCTAGGTTCGATTCCTAGTTGGGCTCCTGATTTGCTTCTCGATAAATACTCCTGTAGCGTTTGGCGATAAGTAGATCTATTTTTTTTGGTCTTGTTTTTTGAGCAAGAGATATCACGTGGGGACGCTAGTCCAGCTTCAAGAAGTATATAAAGCCCTCCTCGCCCGCCCTTCGCCTCTCCTTCTCTCCTTCCCTTCTCTTCTCCCGCTCTCTTCTCCTCTGGCCGCTTCTCCTTCTCTTCTCCTTGCTCCCTCCCGATCGAACAAGCAAGGAGTAGAGGTAGTACAAGAACCAGAATAGCAAAAGAATTAGTGGCCAGTTATACTCTAGGGTTTTACCCCCTAAGCTTTCCTGTACAGGTCGTTTCATCGGGTACCCACCCCGGGGGTTAGGGTTAGGGTTAGGGTTAGGGTTAGGGTTAGGGTTAGGGTTAGGGTTAGGGTTAGGGTTAGGGTTAGGGTTAGGGTTAGGGTTAGGGTT